TGCCCCTCTCACAAGATTTATAAGCCAACTTTTCCATTATTCCAATTTTTCTCTGAATCAGTTCCTTATCATGTGTCCATGTAATTTTTTCTGAACCAAAATACTAAATGAAATGCTATACTTCTAGAGAAGAGGATATTTTCAACAAGAACATCAGTGATAAATGCTGCAACAGAAAGCTCTGAAGAGCCAGCATTATTACATTCACCACAAAACCAGACCTCTACTGTTGCTGGAGATAAGCAATTTTCTGAGAGTCCAGAAAGAACAGAGGAATAACGCGGTAACTTTTTAATATCTAAAACTCCTGTGGTAATGGCATAATATGGTCAAATGAGGCAAGGAAAACCTCCAATTTTGCTTCAACTGTTGCCCTGGGCCTCTACATCTCTTCCACACAGTAAAAATCTTGTGTCAACTCTGTCCACTGCTTTATATAAACCTCTCCAAGACGGAAATGATCAAAAACAACTAAAGACTAACATTAGCAGGTTAAGGAAAAAAAAAAATTAACAAAGCATCTTCATAAATTCTGGACGATAATCATACCTAGTAATCAATAGGTGAAACATACAATAGTCCATACACAAAAATTTCCGGTGGGAAAAGAAAGGGGTGGTAGGTTCCCCACTGAGATGTGGAACTCAACTCTTCCTTCACGTTAAGAGTTGGTTCAAGATAAGTTGGTTCAACACTTATCCCAAGTGGATAAGTGTACCAACATAAATTCATACTTAGAGTATTCATACTTTAAAAGTCTTCTTTAAAAAAATATTTTATCTTAGAGAGGGAAAGAGAGAGAGCACGTGTGGACTGCACGAGTGAGGGGAGGGGCAGAGGGTAAGGGAGAGTCTCAAGCAGACCTGATGCTGAACTCTGGAGCCCAAGGTGAAGCTGGGACCTCAGGACCCTGAGCCAAAACCATGAGTCTGATCTGATGCTTAACTGACAGGGCCACCCAGGTGCCCCTAATTAAGTCTTAAAACTCATAGATGCTGCCCCTTCCCAAAACAGTGTGGGGAGATACGTTCTTTTGAGATTAGAGAAGATTGGTTAAAAGCTAAAAATGCAATACATGGATTTAAAAAAAATCCAATCTATAACTTGCATTCTTTCAACAAACTTACAAAATACCAAACTCTTCACATTACGGAGTACATAAATGCAGTGTAAAGCAAATACTGGCTATAAATGATCATTTTTTTCCCACTCTTTTTACAACACTTAAAGTATTTCACCAAAAAAGCCCCCTGTTTAATGAGTATCTCTAACAACTTCATTCTTTTATCTTCCTTCATCAGATACTGACCTCTTTTACCTGTGCTGATCTGTACCCTTCCTTTTATCCACAATTTTATTCTAAGCATGCCCTCTCATTGCTTTAAACTGTGCTTCTCTATACTTCCCCTCTCACAACGTGCTCAAACTTCTACTCCCATGGGAGACCAGGCTTCAATATCACTTATTAAGGCTAAGACCATATACATCCTATGTAAATATACAAATAGCCTACCACCAGTGTCTACTACACTGTTAACTGCTGTTCTTTCCCTTCATTCTTGAAGCGACTTTGTCCTTAAATCCCTTAAAACCAAAATTCTACAAGACTACATCTGTGACCTTTATTTCCTCATCTCCCTCATCATCTTTCAACCTTAAACTTCAGATGCCATTACTCTCAAATTTTAGCAGCTTTTTTCTTAAATCTTAACCTGTAACCACTCCCCTGGTATTACATAAAATATTATCTTTAGGCAGCAATTAAGATGGGGAGATGTGCATTCAAATCCCAACTCACCATTAGCTAATAGCATGCCCCTGGGCCAATTATTATTTAACTGCTTTGAAAATCAGTTTCCTCGTCTATAAATGGACGTCTGTGGAAGGTTGTAGGAATATTAGGTACATATTTATAAAATGCCGGATATGCCATAGATGCTTATTAAAAATATTAATTCCTTTTCTCACCCCCTCTGAATTTTCTCCAGGGCACATCTGGGAGTGACTTCCAGATGTCTCCCTCTATTTCCTGGTTGCTTCCAAGTTTGAGTCCTACATGCCCAATCGCTTGCCAAAAATTTACACGACTTTTCCACTCAGTCTCAAACTCAACCTGTTCAAAAACCAAACATTTTCCCCCTTCCACTAAATACGATTTTGATGACTGCTTGACTTGTGTTAAAAGCATCACCGCTTTCCAAGCACCCAGTGGGGGCAAAAGGTGCTTAGGAGCCTATCAGATGGCAAAGTCCATGGATTCCTCTGGCCCATATGCTTCTCCTCCTCTCCCTGCCACTTATACACATGCCAAGTTCAGATTTTACTTAATTCTACCTAGTTCTCAAAATGCCAATCTTCCTCAAATCTCTTTCTACAATATATACAAATCAAGCAATTTCTGTGACTATATCACCCTACTACTTAAAATCTTCAGTTTACCCAGAACCTAAAAATTTAAACACATTAGACAGACATGAAGCTTGCCATGCCCCCCAATTACTTAACCAATAGCCTTTGGAATCAAACTACTGTTCATTCTTCAGCACTACTACCCTTCAATCTCTACTTTTTACACCTTCTACATCCTAAAACTGGCTCCACTTTATCTTCCCCAAGTCTTCACTGAACCCCCATAGCCATCCCACAGTACTTTTTAAGAGCCCCAAAGGAGGCTGTTCTATCACACATTAGAGTTACCTGCCTAACTCCTGTGTCCTCTAATTAGATCAGGCTCCTAGGAGACAGAGACCCTTAGTAGTACCAGAACAGCTCTCTAATTGAGCACGCGCTCTAAAGTTTGTAAAATTAAGGTAAGATTTGGGAGATTTGAGGTTACAGGGAAGTAACCAGTAACATTTCACGAATGAGGAGAAGTAACAGAGAAGCACTACAAATCAAACAGTACAAGGTAAGTTTTAAAGTTAAGCTAGTTTCCCTGGAAGAAAGTTTTTTCAGAAGAAAGTCAAAACTGGCAATACACCTAACATAATGTAATTTGTAGTTCATAAAGTAAGAGTGGAAATGGAAATAAAAAGTATTTGAGCAGAAAGGTGAACAATGACATGAAAATTCTCACTTTGTGTATTTTAAAAAGGTTAAAATACCATTTCCCTTTTTTGAGAAGTCAATATCATACCTTATTTTGGTTTTCCAAAATAAAAACTACTGATCAGTTTTCCACAACGTATTTGTTTAATGTCAACTTCCACAATGCTTAACTCAGAATTAAATACTTCGGATCTTAAGAATACTCTAGAAATTCCCGCTCTTTGTGCATTAAGAGTTAACATTAAAAAAGTCAATAATGTTTTACCTCGAGAAAGAAATGTACTCATAATCTCTAAAAAACTGTTGTACCATTTGTAAAATTCTCATGCATTCAACAAGTTACTTGCCTCCTACGGTGAGGGGAGGAGCAAAGAACAGAAACTCCCTGCCCTCAAGGAGTCAACATTCCAGTGAATTTTGCCTTCAGGACACCAAGCCAGCTTCCAAACCTACCTTGGGAGCATTATCACAAATTCGCTAGCCATCAAGTAAGTATCAGGAAATATTTCGTTATCTTGAAAACCATCACACTGTCCAACACCCGTTTCTACTGCGTTTAAGACATTTTATGTACCCATCGGTTGAAGACAACTTATTTCCAGGATACTCTGCAAGGCAATAAAAGGTCCTAACTGCAGTGTTACTGGAGGGTCCCCTAGTATTCCGGCACCGCAGATCTAACAGAAAAGTTACCGCACCTTAATTCTGCCACGAGTAAAATCACAAAATCTTAGGGTGAGACGCAGCAAGTCGTTAACGCCCGCCCTATCAAGACCTCTCTAGAGCTACAGCACTACATACATCTGACTTTTTTCAATGCTGGGTCTATCTTGAGTGTTTGGCGAAGTGAGCTAATCCAACCCGACACACGACAACAGTTTCCATCCCGTAACTGTATTTTAAAATCAATGGTCAAGTCCCCCCCCTCCCCCACCCCGCCCCCCACATAAATTCTGACGGGAGAGAATGTGCGGACTCTACGCCCCAAACCCAGCACCTGGAATGACTTTGGAGATAAAACTATCGAGCTCTAAGGCGGCAGGCAGCTTTGTTCCCGGTTTGGGGAGTTTTTCACATGTAAATGTTTCCCCCTAGAAGGGAGCCGCGGATTAACTACCGCGGGAGGAGCGCGTGGATGGGGGGGAGGGGGGGGAGGGGGGGAGGGGGGGGAGGGCGGGGGGCCGGGGACCGGAGGCCGAAGCCGGCTTTCCGCCGGACTGAGGCGGAGCAAGCACTCCTCTCCCATTCAACTTTTTAGGTGTCACGTTGGGGCCGCGGAGCCCATTAGCAGGGCCGTGTTCACCGGCTGGGAACCGTCAGGGGCCGCCCCGTCTTCACCTGGGAACCCCGTTCCCCGAGCGTGCGTGTGAGTGGCGGGAGCCGGGGGACGGACACCCTCTCTCCAAACTGCCCCCGGGGGCCCGGGATCAGAGTCCAGCCGCCGCCGCGCCGCGCGGCCTGAGCAACAGGAGAGCCCAGGCCGCCGCTCCGCCAGCCCGGCCACCGGCAGATGCTCCCGCTCCCCCCGCCCCCAACCAACCCCACACGCCCGCCCGCGCTTCTTTCTTAGCCCCTTGCGGGCTCCCGGCACCGCGAAGCCAGTAGCGGGGCCGGGGGGGCGGCCGGCGAGAGCGCCCGGACCCTGAAGAGAGGGCGAAGTTAGAGGCGCCGGCGGCGGCGCGGGCTGGGGGAGGCCGGGGAGGCCGGAAGGGGGCGACGGGGGCAGCCCGAGGTCGCCGCCCGGGGGTGGGCGATGGGGGAGGGGTGCGGGGTCGGCGCCCGGGGCCGGCGCGACCTCTCCCCGACCGCAGGCCGCTCCGCGCAGGCCCCGCCGCCCCGGAACCCCGGGCAGGAAGCGTCCCCACCCCGCCCGAAGCTTTAAACCTCCGGCGGCGGGAGACACGGGGGCCCCGGCGGCCCCGGCGGCCCCGGCGGCCCCGAGCACTCCTCACCTCCTGGTTGAAGGCGTTGACGGCGTCCATGTTCGCGCTGCGGCGGCGGCTGCTCCGGGCCCGCCGGTCACATAGACCTCGCGCCGCGGCGGAGCGGGGCCGGGGAACCGGCCGGGCCTGAGGGGCGGGGGGGAGGGCGGCGAGCGGCGGAGCCAGAGGCCGGGCAGGAAGCGGCTGCGGCCGAGGCGGCGGGGCGGGCGGCCGAGGCGGAGGGTGGCGGGCCCCCTCTCAGTCCCGTTCGGAGGATGAGGAAAAGGAGGCGGCGGCGGCGGCGCTGGGCTCCAACATGTCCGTTTGGCGGTGGCGGCTGCGCTCTGCGTCTCGCTGACACGGCCCCCCGCGCCCTCACGCACTGGCCCACACTGGCCCGACCGGCGAGCGAGCGGGCGGGCCTCTCTCTCTCTCTCTCTCTCTCTCTCCCTCTCGCCAGCGGGATGGCGGCAGCGGCCCGAGTCCACGCCGCGCGGGGCACCCTGGGACGGCTCGGGCCTCCCAGCGCTTCCTGTGCCCGGCTCCCGCCCCGCCCCGCCCCGCCCCGCCCCGCCCCGGGCGCGCTGGCCCCGCCCCCCGCCCCGCCCCCCGCCCCGCGCAACGCGCGCCCGGCTGCTGGCGCGTGACGCCGGGACGCTGGGCGCTTTCCCGCCGGCGGCGGCGGCGGCGGCGGCGGCAGAGGCGGCAGAGGACCCGGGAGGTCGCCTGGCGCTAAGGCTGGGCCCCGCCGAGGGCGCCGGAGAGTGCGGGACCCCGGAGTCGGGAGGCGGGCACGGAGAGGGCCCGCGCACACCCGCGCCCCTGCCCGACGCGGCGTTCCCCAGTGCGCTTTCGAGCCATTTCTGCCCGAGCAGGCCGTGCACCCCGGCCGCGGCTGGCGGGCGGGCACGGACCCGCTGGCTCTCCGCTGTCGGGAACAAAGGGCGCAGGACTTAACCTCAGCCCGCTGAGCGTGCAGCCTCTCCGCCTGTGCAGCCCTGTGCCTGCTCCGTGCGCGCAGCCTCTCCGCCCGTGCAGCCCTGTGTCTGTGTGTGCAGCCTCTCCGCCCGTGCAGCCCTGTGTCTGTGTGTGCAGCCTCACCGCCCGTGCAGCCCTGTGTCTGTGTGCAGCCTCACCGCCCGTGCAGCCCTGTGTCTGTGTGTGCAGCCTCACCGCCCGTGCAGCCCTGTGCCTGCTCTGTGCGCGCAGCCTCTCCGCCCGTGCAGCCCTGTGTCTGTGTGTGCAGCCTCACCGCCTGTGCAGCCCTGTGTCTGTGTGTGCAGCCTCACCGCCCGTGCAGCCCTGTGTCTGTGTGTGCAGCCTCACCGCCCGTGCAGCCCTGTGTCTGTGTGCAGCCTCTCCGCCCGTGCAGCCCTGTGTCTGTGTGTGCAGCCTCACCGCCCGTGCAGCCCTGTGTCTGTGTGTGCAGCCTCTCCGCCCGTGCAGCCCTGTGTCTGCTCTGTGCGAGAGTGAGGCACGGAGAACGACGTGCAGGCAGTGGATACCCACGCAGGCCCACAGGACCCCCCCCCCTCACCGTGCCACTGTGTGCCGCGGAAAGGAGTGGATTCCCCCAAACAAACGTTCCCTTTTTGGTGGAGACACTTTTTCCCTGATTCACTTACCTCGACTACCAACTGGCTGCTGGGCGCTGTGCTGGGTTCTGGGGATGCGGAAATGAAAGGCAATGTTTCTGGCAGCAGACAACTCGGTTTAGCGGGGAGGACAGACAAATGAGCAGCTACGAACTAAAGATGGTCAGTTAGGGCAGAGACCCAAGGGGACGAAGAAGAAGGATAATCATCCGACTGGAAGTCCAAAAGGCTTCTCAGGAGACGTGGCACTCAAGCTACATCTAGAAGAAGCAGCAACGGCCGGAGGAGACACCGTTAGGCTGACGGAGCCTGATGAGTAGTTTGGCATCTCCTTCCCTCGAGGAGGACCAGCTGGAGCTTAGGGAGTGGAGTCAACTGAGAGGTCCTGAAGAGCCTCTGCGCCCTTCCAAGGAGTTTGGATTTTGTCCCTGAGGCGGTGGGGAGCTTTGAAGGGTTTTAAGAGGAGGGTGGTGTCCTGCAATGTGCTCTTTCAAAACAGAGGTGTAGAGCAGCAATAGAGAGGGCTGGGAGAAAAATGGCTCTAAGCCCCAGGGGATGCTGTGAATTTGAGGCAATGTAGTGGAGAAGGAAAGACGAGGTCAATGTTTAAGAAGTGGAATGAACGCCTTGGGGTAGGGTGGGGTTGAGGTGTCAAAGAGAACGCTCAAGGTTCTGGTTTGATGAGAGTTGTGGGTGCTGGATTCGTAAGTCAATTTGGGACTCTATGGGGAGGAAGGGATGAGATGAGAGAAAGAATAATGGTAAACACTTGTAGACCTTTTATCGTGTGCCAGAGTCTGTGCAATGTACGATTCTGTGTTGTTTCATTTAATCTCCGGAACAGGCTTCTGTATGAGGTGGCTATCAGGGATGCCCCGTTTTATAGTTGAGGAAGTGTAGCCCAGTTCCGTTAACTAACACGCCCAGAGCCAGATGATTTCCTTCTGGGGCCCGTGGAGTTGGAGGTGCCCCTGGGGCAAATAAGTGAAGACGTCTAGGAGGCAGTTGGGTAAACACCTGTGCAGCCAGGAGAGCTGGCTGAGAGGAAGTAGAGACCTGGGAGTCATTAATGCACAGCTCCTGTGGGAGGAGCTGAAGTAGGGAAAGCAGGCAGGGAGCATAGGTGTGGAGAAGGCAAGAAGGTGGAAGAAGAGGCTGAGAGAGTCCAGGAGCCTGTCTGGCACTGAAGGCAGAAAGCAGCAAGATATGGACTGGAGAGTACCTGTTAGCATCTAGGATCCCACGGGGAACGTTGGCAGGAATGGGGGGAGGACAGAAGCCAAACTGATGTGCACCCAAGAGAGGAAGGCAGCAGGAGATATAGTTCACGGACACTTGGCTGTGAAGGCAGGTGATGAGGACACCAAGAGAAATCAACAGGATGAAGGGAGGGTATGCCTGTGGCTTTTAAGGTGAGAGACACATATTCGTGATTATTTGCTGCAGTAGCAAAATAGATCCCAAATACTCGTTTCAGGCCCACCCATCATCTACTTCATATTATTGTCTTTTTTATCTCTCAGTTCAGCTCCTATTACCATTTTTTAAAACCCATTTTGCTTCCATAAGAGTTGTCACTCTTATGGAAGAGCTGTCACATGTTGCTTCCATAAGAGTTGTCACACATTGCATTAGAAAATGATGTGCTTAATAGATCCAAGGTCCCCACACCATATTTCTAGCCTACTGCCAGGGTACAACCACGTGTTGTCATTCTCTGGACACCTCTGTGTCAACAGCTTGGCCTTTGCTGTCATGTAAAATCCCTCCTTGTTCCTGCACATATGCAGGCCCACTGAGCACCCAGTTGATGTTCAGACATCACCTCCTTTCAACCATTAATCTGCTATTGAGCACTTACTGTATACCGGGCCCTGCACTGAAAAGCTTTCCCACTCCTCCCAGCCGGGCTCAACTGTTCCCTCCATATGCTTCCATGACCTGGCGATAGCACTTTTTACCTTGCTTTGCGGTTATCTGGGGGGAAAAATCTGCATTACTCGGACATGCTATGCACCCCCCACTCTGCCTCTACCTCTTTCTGGGAACAGTGGCAGAACTTAAAAATGGGCCCACAAAGCCTAAAGGGATCCCTTTCCCCCAAATCATGCTAGCAGTCTTTTTTTGGTTTTGTCACTCACTGAAGTAGATTTGGCTATCAAAGGCTGAAATCTTGAGCTGTAGTCGTGAGAAAGAGAGGCACCATTTTAAGTGTGTTGTTTTGGGATCCAATGCATGGTGGTGATTGGGGCCTATAATGGTTTTGGATTGAGGGCCTGAAGGAGAATGATTGCTATGTATTGTCCTACTGAGATTGGAATGCATAAGGAAGAAGATTTGGCTTCTATGATTCTTGTGTTCGAGGTGGATGATTTAGGAAGTTCTTTTCTATTTTTTTTCTTTAAGATTTTATTTATTTATTCATGAGAAACACAGAGAGAGGCAGAGATATAGGCAGAGGGAGAAGCAGGATCCCTGTGGAGAGTCTGATGCGGGACTCAATCCCAGGACCTGGGATCACGTCCTAAGCCAAAGGCGGATGCTCAACCACTGAGCCACCCAGGCATCCCTGGGAAGTTCTTTTCTAGATGGGTTGTTGGGTTTTTATGTCGCTCAAGTTCGGGAAGTCTTTTAAACACGTTGTTTGGGGAACATGTGTAATCAGCTAGATCATGGGTGCTTTGGTGGTATTCTCCCACTTTTTTTGTTGGGAAGATGGCAGCTCCTCTGTCTGTTTGGGGACATGCAGCAGCCATTCATACAGCTATGGCTAGACTTCAGTCTCTATCTGTCCAGGCAGACAAGTCAAATCTTCCAAGAGGAAGTTTTTGGCAAATGACAAAAACTCAGGAGGGCTGTCCTTTGTGAGCACACCTTGAAGCAGTAGGGATGCAGCCTATTAAGAAGATGGCCAGGGGGATCCCTGGGTGGCTCAGCGGTTTGGCACCTGCCTTCAGCCCAGGCATGATCCTGGAGTCCAGGGATCAAGTCCCACATCTGGCTTCCTGCATGGAGCCTGCTTCTCCCTCTGCCTGTGTCTCTGCTTCTCTCTGTGTCTCTCATAAATAAATAAAATCTTAAAAAAAAAAAAAGAAGATGGCCAGAGGATGATAAATACATGCAACTGATAAAACTCAGCAAGACATTTTATCTACTTGCAAACTTGCCTTCTCTCAGAGAACACAGATTTAAGCAGATTCATGTGTTCTTAATGTGGGTGTGAAAATAGTTCTGAAAAGCCATTCCAAACATACTTGTGTTTTTAAAGAGTAGGTGAAATCAATATGCAGAGGAAAGAAAAGATGACATTCAGGAAGTAATCTTCTGGTTAATTCTATGTCCTTCACATGTCAACTTGTTCTGTTGAAAGGAATGCTGGCTACAGTCCACAGCTGTAGAGACTACAGAAAGCATCTCACTCCTAAAGAGCCTAGGAAAACACTTAACAGATAAGAATCCAAGAGAAATCAAGTTCTCTCTAATGCTTTATTGCATACACTTTCTGGAACAAGTATAAACTAATTATCTTGGAAGAGACTCTTCTTTCTCCTTGGTCTGCTTGTCTCCTCTGCCTAGCCTCCTCCCCTTCCTGAGATTTCACCTGACACCTATGTGATCCCTCTTACCCCCCACATAGTAACTGGAGCTCTCTCCTGGTTTACGACTGCGTTTCCAACTGCTCACTGTAAAATTCCACATGGTTGTCCCCCTCTGTCCCCAGGGTACCCACCTGATTCCTTTTTTATGTCAACCTCCATCTCCATGCCTGTAGACTGTTGGTGCCAAATTAGTGGAACATTGTGAGGAAAACAGGAACCGGAAGGAGGAAGAACTCAGTGGTGGTTGGGACAATGGTATTTTAGGGAATTTTCCTTTCCTTCTTAATTCTTCAGCATTTTTTAGACTCCCTACAGAAAGCATGTATTACTTTTGTTATCAGAAGGAGTAAGCTCCTTAAAAAAGGAAATACAGATAAGTGTGCAGCTAACCTAGAATGTTTTAGATTGAAGATCTCGGCTATGATAGTAAGCATAGGAGTGTATGCGTAATGTCTTAGGGTTCTCCAGAGAAAAAGAAGTGTTGGACTAAACACACACATACAGAATATAAATACATTCTAATATATCTTAATATAGTTTTTAAAGGTTAAATATAATATATAACATTTAATAACATACAGCTATAATCATATATATTGCATATAATTGTGTAATTATATAATTTATAACATTATAATTCTCATATTCTAATATATATTTTCTCTCTTCTCTCTCTCTCTCTATATATATATATATATACCCATAACGTGTGTGCATGTGTATATAGAATCTGCCATCTGCTAGCTGGAGAATCAAGAAAGCAAGCAGTCAGCCCCAGACCAAAGGCCTGAAAACCAGGGAAGCCAGTGGTGTAATTCTAGTCCAAGGGTAGGAGAAAATGAGATGAGATGTCCCAGCTCCAGCACTAAGGGAGGGAAAAAAAAGGAGCGAATTCCTCCTTCTTGCACCTTCTGTTCTATTCAGACCATCAGCAGATCACCTGATGCCTACCAGTACTGGAGAGGCGCTCTACTTTACTGATTCCATCAATTCAAATGCTAACCTCATCAAGAAACACCTTCACAGGCACACCCAGAAGTCACAGTTAACATGGACATTCTATGGCCCAGTCAAGTTGACGCATAAAATTAACCATCACAAGTAAGTGATAAAGGAAGACAGTTTCTTTTGGCAATTTCCTTTTTGACTTAAGATTGGGATCTAATATACTTTTTCCAAAATTGAAAGTTATTAAAATCAAGTCTCGGCTGAAGTGAAATGTCACCTTCCAGGACTGAATCACCTCAATCTAATATTTGCCCATTCATTCAATCATTCATTCATTCACAAAATAAATATGACAACTTCCAAGGATGGGCACTTGTGCTAGGTGTTTAGATACTATAGGAAACAAAAACAGAAGTTCTTTTCTCCTAGAACTACTCCCCAGAGTCTGACACCTGGCTCTGACATTAAGCATTTTTTTCATATGCATATTGCTCATTTATTCATGATCATGTCTTGTGAAAATATAGACAGTTTATTTACTTTTTCCTAAATATTTCCTTGAATAAATGCCACTGATGTGGAGTATTACCCTTTATATGTTTTGCTGAATTCTTTTTTTTTTTTAAGATTTTATGTATTTATTCATGAGAGACACACACAGAGAGAGGCAGAGAACAGGCAGAGGGAGAAGCAGGCTGCATGCAGGGAGCCCGACGTGGGACTCAGTCCTGGGTCCCCAGGATCACACCCTGGGCTGAAGGCGGTGCTAAACCACTGAGCCACGAGGGCTGCCCTGTTTTGCTGAATTCAATTTGTAGAGATTCTGTCAAGAATATTTCCTTCTCTGTTGATGAGTGATATTGGACTGTAGTTTCCTATCTTTTACTGGTTCTGGTGTCTGAGCAGCCTGTCTTCACCAAGTGAGTTGAGAGCAGTTTCCTTCCTTCTCTATTTTCTGAAACAATTTGTGTTGAATTGGTATTATTTCTTCATTAAGATTTTGTTAGAATTGAGAAGCCACCTGGGTCTAATGCTTTCTTTATGAGAAGGCTTCATATTCATATTTCAATTTTTAACACTGATACAAGGCTCTTTAGATGTTCTATTTCTTGGGTCAATTTTGATAATGGTATCTTAAGAAATTTGTCTATTTAAAGTTTGACAACTAAAAAAAAATAAAAATAAAAAAATAAAGTTTGACAACTTACTGCCATACGGTATTTTATAATAGTCTCTTATTGCCCTTTTAATGTCTGTAGTGATGTTGGTAATTTGTATGTTCTTTTTAAAATTTTCTAATTCAGTGTAGTTAGAAGTTTGTTTATTTTCGTTCCTGATGTTGGTAATTTGTATGTTCTTTTTAAAATTTTCTAATTCAGTGTAGTTAGAAGTTTGTTTATTTTGTTGATCTTTTCAAAGAAGCAGCTTTTGATTTTATTGACTAATCCCATTATTTATGTGCTTTCTGGTTTATTAATTTTCACTATTATCTTTATTATTTTCTTCCTTCTCTTGTTTTGTATTTAATTTGCTCTTCCTTTTCTAGATTCTTAAAGTGGAGGCCTGGATCATTGATTTGAGGCATTTTTTTTCTTTTGTAATATAAGCAATTAAAACTTTAAATTTCCCTCTCAAAATTTTGATATGTTGTGCTTTCATTTCCATTTACTTCAAGATATCTTATAACTTTCCTTATGATTTCTTCTTTTATCCCACATTTATTTAGAAATGTATTGCTTAAATTGCAAATATTTGGGAATTTAAGAAATACCTTTCTGTTATTGATTTATAATTTAATTCCATTGTGGTCAGAGATCAGACTTTGTATGGTTTCAGTCCTTTTGACTTTGTTGAGACTTGTTTTATGCCTCAGCCTATCATCTATGTGGATGATTGTTCCACATGCACTTGAAATTAATGTTTATTCTGCCATTGTTGGAGAGAATGTTCTATTAATGTCAAGTCAGCATGGTTGATAGTATTGTTTAAGTATTTATCTCGTCATTTTCTGTCTACTCATTTTCAGTTACCTAGAGATGAAATTTGATCTCTTTTGCTGTAATTATGGATTTGTCTATTTCTCTTTTTAAAATGTATTTATTTATTTATTTATTTATTTATTTATTTATTTTGAGAGACAGAGTGAGAGAGGACAAGTGCATGCATGAGTGAGTGGGTTAGGGGAAAGGGTAGAGGAAAAGAGAGAAACCTTTTTTTTTTTTTTTTTTTTATTTAAAAGAGAGAGAATCTTAAACAGGCACCACTCCCAGGGCAGAGCCGGACATAGAGCTTGATCTCACAACCCTGAGATCATGACCTGAGCCAAAATCAAGAGTTGGTCGTTCAACCAGTCGAGTCACCCAGGTGCCCCTTGTATTTCTCTTTCCAATTCTGTCAGTACGTGCTTTATGTATGATGGATCTTTGTTATTAGGTGTGTACAAATTTAGGATTATTATTTTTCCTTGATGAATTGACCTTGTTGTTATTAAGAAGATTTCCTTTTTTGTCTGGTAATAGTTCTTACCTTGAAATCTGTTTCATCTGATATTGATATAACCACTCTGGTCTTATGATTTGTATTTGCATGACATATGTTTTCCATTCCTTTACTTTTAACCTGTCTGTGTCTTCTCCAATCCTGTGCTTATTGTTGTTTTACTTCTATGCATGTTTTATAAACCCACAATACATTAGTATTAGTGTTGTTTAGTTTCTTGCATATTTTCCAGTTTTCTGGTTTTTTTGGTTATTTGTTTTATGGTGGAAGGGCAATTCTGGATCTTGTTACTACCTCATGATTAGAAGTTTTCATAAGTTTTTAATTATTATGGAGTAAAATTTGTTAATTTTTTCTTTTATAGTTCTTTGTATTCTGTCTAAGAAATATTTGCCTGCCTTGGAATAATGAAGATATTCTTCATGTTTCCTTTTGGAAGCTTTATTTTTATTTTTATTTTTATTTTTTAATTAATTATTTATTTATTGTTTCTTTTGGAAGCTCTGTTGGGAGTTTTAGTGCTCATATTGGGTCTATGGTCCATTTTTTTTCCTATGGTCCATTTTAAATTAATTTTTGTATATATATGAGATAGAGTTCAAGTTTCATTTTTTAAAAGAAGTTCTGTTCCAGTATACCGTAAAGCTTTCTTTCCCCCATTGGGTTGCATTGGCATCTTTGTCAAAATTAAATGGCTGCATATGTAGGATTGTATTTCTGAAATCATTACTCTGTTCCTTTGATCACTAATACCACACTTGATTATTCGATTCCTAGTACTTTATAGTTAAAGTTTTGAAATCCCTAAGTGTAGGTCCTCCAATTTTGTTGTTCAAGATTACGTTGGCTGTTCTAGTTCCTTTGCCTTTCCCTATATACTTTATAGCTTACAATTGTCAATTTTGGAGAAAAAACAAAATCTATTGATATTTTAATGGAGATATCTGGTTCTCTCTCTCTCTCTTTTTTTAAAGATTTTATTTATTTATTCATGATAGAGAGAGAGAAGCAGAGACACAGGCAGAGGGAGAAGCAGGCTCTATGCAGGGAGCCCAATGTGAGACTTGATCCTAGGACTCCAGGATCATGCCCTGAGCTGAAGGCAGACGCTCAACCACTGAGCCACCCAGGGATCCTGAGATATCTGGTTCTCAATTAATATTCATGACCATGAATCTCAAGTGGGCCCCTTGTGAAATCCAGCAATCACACTACACTTCCTTATGTAAAGAAAGGAAGCTATTCCAGAGTTCTCCTTACTTCTTACCAGAACTGAGCCACATCCTCATCCCTAAACAAATGAAAAGAAGGATGGACTTGTCTATTTAAAACCAGACCAGGATTTGTCAGCTAAAATATGGGTGCTTTTCCTTTAGACCAAGAGATATTTGCCTACATGTGAACAAAAAAATTCTGTTAGCAAGGACAGAGGGGGAGGAAAGGAGCAGAAGTTTGGCTGTTGAGTGGGCAAGATTGACTGCCATACAAACAAAGACATCCTATGTGTGTGAGGGTGTGTTTATGATTGTATAAGCATGCAGAAAATATGAAAGGATAGATACCCAGTTGTTGGCAAATGATACATCAAAGTGGGGAAAAGATGTTTTAATGCAGGTGAAAGCAGCAAAACTGGGGGAAAAAAGTGTTTTAAAAATAGATCACATGTATGCATTTATATAAAATTCTGTACATATATGAATACATATACCAATTAGAAGATTAAAAAAGGGATCCCAGCCCCCTCCAAAACAAAGGTCCTTTTTGGGGCAACATATCAGCAACATGGCTGAGTAACTGAATTAAAGCAAAAAATGAATAAATGAATGATGAGAGAATGAATAAACCAATAATTTTGTAAGCAGCCATAACATGTGTTCCATCTAAACAACAATACATGAAAACAAATATGTAAACAGCAAAAATAGATATCTCATTGTCCATAAATTAAGATCACACGTGCCACCCACTGGACACTCAGCACTCACGCCTAGAATAATTATCTAGCAATTCTAACCCCTTGAGTCTTTGATTTTTAAGTATAAGTACATTAAAAGTAGCAGAATAGGGAAAGAGCCTGCTGGAGATAGGCAGACTGGCAGCAACAAGAAGTGGCTGCTGACAGGCTGACAGTGACAGAGGAGACAAAAATCTGTAGACAGCAGCCACGAGAATGTACAAAGGCACAGCTGCCGGGGCCATTGAGTTTAAAGGAAACTAGTTCTTGGAACCTCCATAATCCTTGGTGGCACGTGTTTTACAGCAAGTCCCAGCAAGGCTGCTGTAATGTCAGATCCTGGTTAACAAAGAAATTGAGGGTATGCACTGCATTCTCTGTTTAAGAGAGCACGGCAGCATATGATAGAAATGGAGGAGGATGGCTATGCCTTTTTCCAGAAAGGAACTATGCCCAGGTCATTCTTGTAACTTTGCAGGCATAGATTCCAGCTCTCTATTGGATGCCCCAGTGCAGGTCCATGGCTACCTCAGGTTCAACACATTTGAAACTCTTCTCATCTCATTTTTCAATTCAGGTGCCAATTTGTTATCAGTTACAAAAGTGTGAGTAAAATCCATCTATGAAGATTTTCAAGGGAAAGGTTTGAGGAAGTATTTCACCACTCTTAAAATACCCTCCCCCACTTTTGGAAAATAAATTGGCTGGAACAGAGAGAGAAAGAGAGAGAGAGAGAATGGGAGAGAGAGAGAGAGAGAGAGAGAGAGAGAGAGAGAGAGAAATTGGTGCAAGGAGACTGGTCATGACAAAGTGGTTGCCTGTCTCAGGCTCCCATCCCTCCCCTATCTGGGAAGTGAAATGAAGGGGTAGCGGAATGCTACCTCTAATCCAGGGGTCAGCCAACATTTGGCCTACAGACCAAATCTGGTCACTGCCTGTTTTCATAAATAAAGTTTTATTGAAACACAGCCATGCTCATTAGTTTGTGTGTCATCTATGGCTGCTTTAAGCTGCAAAGCTAAGCCAAGTAGTTATGACAGAGAAAGATAGTCCATAAAGCCTGAAGTATGTACCCTGGCTATCTTGAGAAAGAAGCTTTCTGACCTCTATTCTGACCTCAGGAATCATGAGGAAGACTTCAGGTGTCATTAGGAGGGTTTTGAAATGTGTTCACTGTGGTGAGAGATTGAGGACGGTTCCCAGCTAAGGCAGTCTGTGGACTGGGGTCTGACTCCTAGGAGATCCAGAGGGTGAGCAATGGGCTGAATAGCTACTTTGGTGGCAGGTACTGGGACATTGGAATCTAGGATAAGTAGGGGGAGTGACTATTTCCTGAAGTGCATTAGGAATTGAGTGGGAGACAGAAAGCAGTGATATGGTTCCCTTTGGTTTTCATTGGATAGTCCACCTGGAGACCTGCATAGGAAGAGCCTGCGTTGACCAGGGATTGAGTGTATAGGGATTGAAGAAAAGAATTGCAAGAGACTACACACAACTGGTTTGTCTTTTTGGCCAAAAGAACTGGGGGAGAAAAGGATCCAGAAGAGAACCTCTGAAGAGCCCACCAAAGCATCCTTGAGAAAATGCCAGTACTAACCGTCTTGCCAGTCGACAGACTCAGCAAGAAGCCACCAGCCAAGGTAGAGCTGTTCTAGACCCTTCTCTCTCCCTCTTCTCCATGCATGTTTCACCCTGTTTGAGGAGAACGTGAGCAGAGGGTGAGATGGGGCAGAGGGCCACCCACTCTTCCCCACTGCAAGCTCCCAGCCAAAAAGTCAGGGAAGGAACTTTTGACACTGTCAAGTTCAGTGTTCTGAAATTCTAATGACTAAATTAAAATTGTTTATTACTTGATGTGGCTCATTTATTGCCCAGAAATGAGTAGATAGGCTATGGGACCTGCTAGAGTTTCATCCAGGCTCATGAAAAGACTACCTCTGCTGAAGAAGGCTTGAAGAGTGAGGGGAAAAACACACAACTAAGGTTTTGTCGGTGGCATGATTCATGCTTGTTCAACATACTGGGTACAATAACTAATATTTATTGAGCACTCATGTATGTCAGACATCATGCCAAGCACTTTTCATGTGTTACCATGTTTAATCCTCCCATCAAATCTCTAGTATTAAGCCAGTTTTACAGATGGGGAGTTGAGATACAGGAAAGATAAGCTGTGGTCCACAGCCTCAGAGCTAGTGAGTAGCAGAGAAGAGATTCAAACTCGAGCAACTTAGAGTCAGTCAAGCTCCCAGACTATGTCAGGCTGCCCAGCTGGTTCTCTAGAGATTTGTTATTTGCTGAGGGGTCTTGACTTTCCCTGAAACCACAGGGTCTTCTCTTTGGGTTCTTCTATCAGCAGAACCTGCTGCAGGCTCTGCTGCATCCCAGTGGAGCAGAGACGCTCAGGACTTTTTTTTTTATATATAAAGATTATTTATTTATTTATTCATGAGAGACACACAGAAAGCGAGAGACAGAGACACAGAGAGGCACAGACACAGGCAGAGGGAGAAGCAGGATCCATGCAGGAAGCCTGATGTGGGACTCGATCCCGGGTCTCCAGGATCAAGCCCTGGGCCTAAGGCGGCGCTAAACCGCTGAGCCACCCGGGCTGCCCCAACACTCAGACTTATTGGATCAGCTGAATGACAGGTGTTAAGCAGCAGAGTTGCTTGCACTGCAGCCTGGACCAGCTCTGGACCTTCTTGTTCTTAAAGCCGAGAGTCAGTTGAGTCCCTCATGGGATCAGATGGTGCACCCAAATGGTTTGTGCAGGTCTAAAATCCTGTATAAACCCACACACATTGGACCTGATTCGTAATGATAAGACATGCAAGGCATGTCATCTTACCATTTATTTGGAGACAGAGAGCCCCACATGCCCTGGGTTATTGGAAACCTTCCCCCATTTCTGCCCCAAATCTACTGCCTCCAATCTACTGTTGCTTTGTAAGACTTATTTTCCACTCTTTGATGTGAATTATCTTCCCCAGGCATCATGTGTTTCTGCTACTTCAGCTCCTTGGATTCCATCAGCTTGACGTCCTGTGAAATGGCCGAGTGCCCACAGACCAAACCATGGCACCACACCAGAGAGGTATCAGTACTCAGGTAAGACAATAAAGGTATACTGTTGTCTTTGCTGGGTGAAACAAACAAATAAACAAAAACTTGCTTTTGGTGTTCTTTGTGATGGGACAGAGAAAGCAAACATGCCTTCGGCAAATCCATAGATGCATACCATGTGCCAGGGTCTTTGTACGTTTGTGTTTATCAACTGAAGCCAGCTGGAACAGCAGATGTAACTGATTAAGTTTATGATAATCCATTGTCATTTTCCAAGATCCATCTGGTTTTCTTCACTGGCCAAACTAGAGAGTCAAATGGGAATATGATAGCAGTCATCACCTCTGGATCTTTCAGGTCTTTTAATGTTTGAAATTTTATGAGGGATGTGGTATCAGTTGTGATGTGCTGTTTTATATAAGGAGAGCTCCATGAGTTTACATGCAGCCATTCCTATCATAATAGGCCTTCCACCACCCAGTAGACAGCCAATGTGGGGTTTTGCTGTTTGTTCTGTGTATCTCTTCTACTTACACTTTCATGAACTGAGGACATAAACACAGATTTGGGGGCTCCTTAATCCTATTGAAGACAAACTTAAGTCAAAATTCAGTTTACTGCCTTATTCCCTACAGAATTGCTCTACTGACTGGTGGACAACGGTGGCATTCTGGACCCTTGGGAATTAGCATTAGCCATAAACCCAGTTTCCATTAATCCTCCAAAGATCTAGGTATTTCCTTTTCCATAGCACACATTTGTCCTGAAATGATGGTATCTGTTTTGGAGGAAGATCAGGATGAAGATTTACAATATATCTTTGCGATCTTATTGTAGTATTTTCAGCAAGAGTTTCTGGTCTTTACTTCATCCAAGAGGTTCTGCGTCTGTGAACTCATTCGAGCCAAGTAGGAGAATCTACTGCAGTGCATAGATCATGCCTCTCTTTATCAGACCTGAGTGAGTTCCTCATGATTTTGGTCCTAGAGATTCTAGTCTATGGTCAATTAGCCATGGTGAAAGATCCCTGCAAGGCAGACCATTATGATTCTATTTTGGCCCTGCTTCTTTGGGTCACTTGCTCCTATTCGCTAAGGGTGGCTTTGGGTGAAGAGAGTTATTACGTTGGTCAAGCCTGGGTCACTTGCTCACATCCCAGCTGCAAAAGCAATTGTGGAGTCGCAGATCTGTTTTTCAGTTTCAGTTGTGGGAAGTAGAGTCTGCTTTCCACCAGGATTTATAATCTGGGGAAATAAATCCAGATTTTTATCCCAAACATAAGACGGAGGTTCAGAACTTGCTCAGCCAAAAACAATGACACATGCTTTCCCTAATCTATTTCACCCCTCTTTTGTTTAACAACAATGTGGTTTAGAAGATTAATCCCAGCTCCAAATGTAGCCCATGCTTTATCCAAGCCAAGTTTAATAATGTAATCTTCCTTGCTAGTGATTTGTTCAGAAATTCAGACCTAAGCCAAATAGCACAGGGCATTCCTCTGACCTCAAAAGTTGGTTTATGTATAGGCATCTGACACATTTTGTTCTAATTAGATGCAAAATGATGTGTTCTGGGGGATTCTGAGGGAAAAGTTTCTTGTGTTCCAGAGAACTAGAAAAGATAATAGTATCTTCTTTATAGGATGCCTACAACCATCTTGATACCTGCTTGAGTATGAAGCTACCATAGGGAAGTAAGCAGAACCAAGATTGTCCAAGAGAAATTGAACTGGATCTGCTGAATTAAACCAACCCTGAATTAAAAAGAAAAAAAAAAAGAAATCTTGCCATTTGCAATGACATAGATGGAACTAGAGGGTATTAGGCTACGGGAAATAAGTCAGTCAGAGAAAGACAATTAATTATCCTATGATTTCACTCATATGTGGAATTTAAGAAACAAAACAAGATCATAGGGGAAGAGAGGGAAAAATAAAACAAGATGAAATCAGAGAGGGAGACAAACCATAAGAGACTCTTAGTCATAGGAAACAAACTCATGGTTGCTGGAGGCGGTGGGGTGGGGGGAATGGGGTAACTGGGTCATGGGCATTACGGAGGGCACATGATGTGATGAGCACTGGGTATTATATAAGATTGATGAATCAGTCGCCTATACCAATAATATACTATATGTTAATTGGATATTTATTTATTTATTTATAAAATTGGATTTTTTTTAAAGATTTTATTTATTTATTCATAGACACAGAGAGAGAGGCAGAGACACAGGCAGAGGGAGAAGCAGGCTCCATGCGGGGAGCCCGATGTGGGACTCGATCCCGGGTCTCCAGGATCACACCCCAGGCTGCAAGCGGCGCCAAACAGCTGCGCCACCGGGGCTGCCCTAAAATTGGATTTAAATTAAAAAAATGGGAAGTGACAAATGACAAAAAAATAATAAAAATAAATAAATAAAAGAAACCAGCCCATACTACTCCTGATCTTGTTATGAAATCCAATCCATTTCCTTATTTTTTAAGCTAGTTTGATTGAGTTGGGGGTTTTCTGTTCTTGATGATTGAAAATATCCAAATTGTTTCAATATAGAATCTTCTAAGTCCTAATGGCATGCTCCAGAATTGGTGTTCTTTTATAATAATCACTACTGTCCTGCAAGATGTGAGTGGCTGAAACCCAGACTAAGCAGGCAATGAAACAAATGTGAAATTGATATGAAAGGAAGTAAATATTGATTGAAGATTGAGTTGTGTAGTTTTTATAATGAAAGAGATACACTTTAGTTACCAAAAATTTGAAGCGTATTGATAATTCAGTTCCAAGTAATAAAATAAATGAGGCACTCTTAAGCATTTAGAAAACGCTTATGAAAATAAAATGAGAAACCGGGGATGCCTCACCTCACACCCCTCTCTCTCTCACTGAACTACTTTATTATTATGAGTGTTGGAAAGAGTCCATGGAACTGGTTTCTAATATGACTTGAGGCAGGTAAATTTGGTTCTTTGAATTTTAGATTTCTAGTCTGCAGAACAATTGTTAGTATCAAATTAATTCATATAGGTGAAAAATTGTTCTAGAGCCCAGGGCAGTGAAAAGACAGGTTTTATGGTTGTACGGATCCTGCAGGGGCTGATGGGTCACACCAATCATCCATGAATGTTAGTTCTAGTATATACACTTCATTTCCTATTTTGGTTGCTGGCTTCTATATTTGAAAAAGCTAGCAAGTCTGTTGGTGTGTGACTTTATATCTCAGTGCATTATTATTGATATTCTCTCAATATTTTTGTTAGATAACTGAACACTGATAATGACTAACATTTTGTGAGGGTCAGAAGGAAGGAATAAAGCACCTTCAAATGCATAATCATGTTTGAGAGGTGCAGGAACTCTGTGCAGTCAGGAGGGAGGGCTGCGTTATGATCAAAACTTTCTGAGGATAAAACTGGTACTTGGAGAAGTGTGCAGACCAGTTTGGCCAGTTATTGGTGAAAGGAGAATTTTAATCCTGTTTTCTGATAATATTTCTATGGTGATTAGCTTTGTGACCTTGGGCAAAGGACTTAGCCTCTTCATGCCTTAGTTTCCTTATCTGGAACAGGCCCACTACAGGTTTTTATAAATAAAGTTTTATTAGAACACAACCAGGCCAATTCATTTGCATATTGCAGCTTTCAAACGTAGTTCCAGTAGAGACAGTATGGTTCAGAAAGCCTAAAATATTTATTATCTGACCCTTTACATAAAACATTTGCTGACTCCTGTTTTAGATACATATTTTTTAGGGACACATTTACAGTGTTAAAGTCTTCAAGAGAGGAAATCTCACACATTTTAAATTCAAAAAAAGTAAATGTTTTGTTCCTATTATGTCACAATTATAAATGATTCCCACAAAACTTCACCCACCTTTCCTATATCAAAGATAAGGGGCAATTATTATTACTGTTATCATCAATCTATTATTATTATGTCAAGTACAGATTGTCATTGCCTTGCTCATGCTTGCCAAGAAGCTTGTGGATTCAGCTCTTCTGTATGTGAGGAGGCTCATTTCTCTTCTTAATCATGTCTTATGATCAGAGGCTCTCCCTTGAGATCAAAGGAGTGATTCATCTTCCCCTGAGATCAGATCAAAGCCGGAGTGGGGGGCCTAGGTCTCGTGCCCTCCCCACCCCTCACTTCGCTGATACTTCCTGCAGCAGAGCAGCTCTCAAGTTTGATCCTGGGTTATACCACTCAGCTTTCTACTCATGATTGCAGCCACCCCCTTCATCTTGGGTATTGGTCTTCTAAATCTGTGCTTATAAGAGATTTGAGAAGAATTGGGATGGATCATGTCAAATCCCTTCTGATTTTTCCCCTGGGAAAATAGTTTGGGGCACATGACACGTGTCTCCTGCATAAACAGACCCACTATAAGTGCCTGGCATGTGGCTGTAACATTGTGTATTTTTAATGTTCTGATGTTTCATGATTTAAAATGATCTATTAGATAGTGGCTGTGGTAAAATCGTCCCACACTAGTTCTTTTAGTCGAATTGCCTTTCGCAGATCATTTTCAGCAATTTGTCTTTAAAGCTTCTTAAAATTATCTTGGTTTCTGCAGTACCTGCCACTCTGAGAATCTGTCTCCCCTAGACATAATTCCTATCATTCTATAATGCAATGACATCGCTTCATAAATCTTTAATGTATGTTACTATTCAGATTGACAGATTTTGTACTTATTATCTGTGACATTTTCATTGACTTCTTTTGCAAAGTGACATTATTGCCATCCCAGCCTGGGTAAGATTTAATACCTGATCTTTCCTCCATCCATCTATCAGAATCATTCATAACTCCCTCTTTCTCCCTCTCTCCCTGTGCAAAGTATAAATTCAAAGATTTTTCTTTTTAACCTATTTCCTTGAAGTATATTTTTCTCTAATCATGATTTTGGTAATGAAATATTATTACCTACAAGACAGTAGCTGTCTCAATCCCTGTCTGCATGCTGATTTACTGAGTAGTTCATGGACTTTTATACCAAACTTTTAAGGAAGTGTCCAAATATATTGTTAATGATGAAGGGCCATT